TCCAACAGCTGTATAAATAAGGTCTCTTGCTATTTTAGTTTTACTAGTGAGGTTCAAAGGCATTTAGGGAAATTGCACAAGGTTGCACATCAGTTGAATAACAAACACAGGGCTCCACACCAGGCTGCCTACATTCAGAGCCTGAGATCAGATTATACTAAGGAATACCCAGGCTGATGGAGATGCAGCAGTTTCATTAAACCTCTCTCACAGGGACATAACTGGTGGCAGTGTCTCCTTCCCTGAACGGACATTTTTTGTCTTTCTTCATGGCTGCCATTAGCAGTCCCTTTAATTTACTTCTACACTGACAATGAGTTTGACAAATCCCGCGTGCAGAAACTTGGTAGAATTTGTCTCAGATGCAAGTCTTCTGGAAAATACCTGATGGTGAGCCCGTATGCATGACACTTACAGTTTAAAAAGTTGGCAAGCCAGGTAAGGAGGACACGGACATTTGCTTTGCATACTCTGACGGTCCCTTGCAGGCCCTATTTACATTAGAAGTGTGGGGACGGGTGGGAGTTTAGATTACATTAATGTTATTGAGAACGATGGTGAGTGAAGTCAGGACACACAGTGACTCAGTCTTGTCTATTTTTCTCCTGAACTCATTACAACAGCGGTAAATCATTACTTTGGAAGGAAATTCATCCAGAGCCCTGACTCTCAACCATCGGGGTCCCTCAGAACAACCTGCATGGTCTATAAAACACAGATTCCTGTGCTTCAACCCAGAGTGTCTCATTTAGCGGATCTGGGTTGAGGCCTGAGAATTTGCAACCACAGAGAATTTAATTCGGAGTCTAATACAGTGTCGTCTATTACCCTTCCTGGTTGCTGGGGTATGTATACATCCACATCCTGGATTTTAAGAACTGACCCTGAGATCACCCAGTTTGTCTGAACGAGTCTCCAGGGAAAGGGGGACATCTGCCATGCTGCTGGGGTCACCCCTCAAAACCACTGCTGTAGATGAGACGTTCTACCAACTCGGAACATGAAGACTGCATGTCGCCTTTGCATTTTTGAATGCTGATTGTAGCCTCACTCCAGCTGGAGTCAGTCAGCATCTCTGGAGCTGAAACCCATTGAGCAGCACTGTTAAACACTCTTTCCGACCCTCTGTTCACGACTGGGCATCAGAAATGAGACCACGGAGAATGACGGGTTTAGTATCAGCCACAGGGGATTGAGGGTGAGAGCTGTTTAAAACTCGATTCTGAAATAACTGTGAATGAAATTCATCGAAGGAGCATTGAAATAGCGTGGCCGGGATACGAAACCATTAAGAACTTTGTGTACGTTGGTCACAAGCAGTGGCTGGTGAACAGGGTTTTCCTCCTTTGACAACGCGTTGCAGTGGATATTTAAACAGACAATGCAGCTTGGTTCTTGGATAGAAAAGGGACATCGTGCAGAGAGTTGGATGAGAAAACCAAGTTGAACTGGTCATACGTAGAATGGTGTAGTACACATGCGCCTCTGTGTGTGTGTGTGTGTGTGTGTGTGTGTGTGTGTGTGTGTGTAAGAGGCACAGTGAGATAGAAAGGAACTGCAGATGCTTCTCGGTGCCTGAAGCAAACCTACTTAACTGTTCATCATAGCTTCCGCATCTTTTCCCCTTGAGGAAGTCCTATGTTGTTGCTGATACTGGCCACTTATAGTTATCAATTTCAGCAGGCTCCCCTTGGATTTATTTATTTCCTGCTTAAAATATATGGTTATCTTATACTTTTGATTTATCTAAACCTTTTCTGTGCGTATAGATACTCATTCTTCACATAATCATCATATTTGGAAAGGGCTTTCGATAAGCATTTGCTCCCCATTTCTTTGGAACAAATAGATTTTCAGAAACCATTAAGAGCTCTAGAACTTTAAATATATATGTATATTCAAGAAGCAGTTCAGGCGGGATGGTCTCCTTTCTTAAATTTCCAAATGTTTAAATTATACCTGTTTCTATTTTTCTCTTCAACTCATATTATTGGACAGACTCAGTGGCCCCGACCCTTGGTTCCAGCACTGAGAAAGTGTGGTGAAGTCTGCACGTTCTAAGGGTACATTTGCACCCGTGTCTATTGTGGCACAATTCGTAATAGCTGCACTATGGAAACAGCCCAGGTGGCTGTCAGGAGGTGGATGTTGCAGGAAAATGTGGTGGACAAACATAATAGAATATTACTTAGCTGTAAAGAACCACACCCCATCATTTTAGGAAATTGGATAGAACCAGCAAGTCATGTTAAATGAAACAGAAAACATGAAAGCCGAACATTTTCTGTTTCTTTTCCCCATTTGTGGCATCTACAAAAATTAGGGGGAAAATGACGTGAAGGTAAAGGGAGATTATTAGAAACGAGGGAGAGGATCAAGGGGAAGGGCAGGTGAGGGGAACTGGGGAGTATCAGTGTGCTAGACGCGCACACACGTATCTCAAAACAAAGCCCACTGTTCTGCACAACTAATACATGCTAATAAGATAAAATGCGAGTGGTAGGATGCAGATAAAAATATACCTAATACACGCAATAAGAAAAAAGTAGGCAGTCTATTCTGTTGAGGAAAGAAAATAAATATGAAAATACTTTCAAATTAAAAGTATTCCTGTTGTCTAGGAGTAGTTGACCCAACTCCTGCTCAGGGGTTAATGTACCTACCTTCAGCTCCTCCACTCTCCTCCCGTGGATGGTCCTCTCACCAGGCTCCTGCCGACGGTCCAGATCATTGGCGGTCCTCTTGGGCTCTGTGTTACTGGTCTCTTCCCATGGGAGTAAGCATTTCTGGAAGGGGCATGGAGTGATAACCTGCCCAGTGGCCTAGGAGAAGTTTAGGGTGGTGTGGGGAAGGCTGCTCACTGATAAAAAGAAAATACTGGGAAGAAAAGAGCTCCTAAGGTCCCTGGGCCACCTGAGCCCTAGGGTGCCACACCATGTTGTACCTAGAAGGGGCTGGAGCCAGAAGGGAATCCACGTCTTGAAATGAGGAAATCAGGGAAATGGGAAGAATCTATTTACTTGTACTAAGATTGAGCCTCTGAGTTAAACAATGGTGAAAGAACAAGATTTCTGAGTATTTGTCGTATAAGAGAATTTTTATTGTTGCTTAAATTCTGGCAAGTTTTCTGTTACCTGTAGTTGAAAGTGACCTAACTGATGTACCCTAACACAGCAAAATGTGTCCTGCTATTGGAGCTGTTGAAGAATAAGAAATACCACCTACCATACCTCCCCGCTCCCTCCTTCATTTTCCTCTTTTCCTCCCCACTACTGTCCTTCTTCCCTCTGTCCTCCCCCAAGCCTCCACCTTACCCCACTCATACCCCCGACGACCCTTTCCTCCCTAGCCCTAACTCTCTAAAACTATTATGAAACTATTCTTTTAAGCACAAAACTTAATAGTCCACACAAATGAAATACTCATTGGTATTTATAGTAACTCTGCCTCTGCATATTAATACCATTCAAACTTCTGGCTAGTTCCCAGTCTTTAGTTTTTCTTTCACAATTGTGATAGGGATTATATTCGTGACTTACTCAATGTTAAATAATTCTGTGACTCACATTTGTCGTTAATCATTTAGGAGATACAGGATGTATGTATATAAAATTAATAGTCATATAAGGACATATAGAGGGCAATTTATTAAATGTCACAGTGATAAGAATAAAAAATGGAGAAGGAGAATTCAGCATCTTCCTTGAAACTTATGAGCAGAGTCAACTTTTTTGCTTTGTGAATTTCACGATGCAGGACTGAGAAAATTTTCATGGTTTAAGGAATTTATTCTTATATTTGTCTATAATAAACATTAACACATACATATGATAAAATATATTACACATTCAGGACACAGAATTAGTATTTTCTTGATGGTATAAAAGATTATTTTGATTTGCATTTCAGAGAAAGCTGCGATTGCTTTGTCATTCTTAAGCTCTCCCCACAGAGTCAAGCCTGGTATCAATACATGTGTAGCTGGGTGGTGCTGGTAGGTTCTGCACTGATTCCAAGATGTCCTGATTAGTGAAATCCAGCTGTGACAGAGGACGCTACCTACGGACATCAGATTGCTTTATGTGATTATCTGAATTTTTCTCCCCAAACTAGAAAATAAATTCTTTTAAAGTTAGTTAGAGGAAGGAAAAAAGATACCAAATATCAGTTCAGGCTGATCTTGAACTCACTATGTAACCCTGGCTGGTCTCAAATTTGAGGTGATCCTTATGCCTCAGCCTCCAGAGTCCTGGGATTACAGATCCCACTATCCCCACTGAAAGCATAAGCTTTCTTGTGGCAAATGTGATCAGGTAGCATGGAGGACCTCATGGGAGGAAATCAGTAGACTGGCATGATACCATGTTCCAGGCTGTGTGGAGCTTCCTGTTTGTCCTGTCTTTTGAAGAGTCCATGTTTTATTATTTCAAAACAGCAATACTTCCTCCTTCCTTCTTTCTGGGATCCTTTCACATCAAAAATGGTTTTTCAAATACCTTAAAGACTGCATTGTTCTGGAACAGGGAGGAAACGTCGGGCTCCTCAAGAGATGCGATACAAACTGTGTCCATGGGTTCAGGTGCCCTGTTACTGCCCTTATCTGCCAGGGCATGAACTTCGAGAGAGACACAGATCAGGGGGATGGACGAGGGCACATCCAATACCAGCTGCAATTTTGTGTCAGTCAGGTGTACTTTCCACAATCCCAAGTCTACCCAGACTGGGCTGGTCTCAGGACCCCAAAGGACCAGTTGTTAAGCCCTTGCCCCCAAATCATGTCACAAACCACTAAATTAGCCTCCTCCACAGGAATTTAGTTCTGATTCTGTCAGTTAACAGTATGTTTCCCTTGCGACTCTTTCTCACGCTATATGAAGATAAATTAGTTTAATGAAAAAAGGAATCAAGATGTGTTATGTACTTGTACCACCACCCCACAAAATGTAACCATCATGTACTACAAATGTGTACTAATGAAAAAGTAACTGAGTTGCTCTTAGTACTTGTGTTTTGAATTTCTTTTTATTTTAATGGTTTTGAAGACTATTTCCTAGGAAGTTCACAGTATTCACTTTTGCATTCGAGTTTATATTAAAGTTTATCCAAAGATAAGATCACCAAGTATTATTCAAGAAGCCTATATAAATAATAGAACTGACATTCTAGATCCACATATATGATTTGCATAAATTACAGAAACATTTTTCTTGACACAGACCTCTTTTTACCTCTTCTCAGTCTTTGATGTATTAGTCTTTTGTTATCTCTGGAATCACTTTCCAGTGCAGTAGACAAAATTTCCACCATTTCATCTTAAAAAATGATCTTTAAAACAGTCTACCAAAAATGATGTGATGTGATCGAAGTACTGTACCATAAATCAATAGAAAACAGCTTATTTCATGAATTGAAAATTATCTTGATGTTCTTAGGAGCTGAATAACATTTTCTTGGGCAATTTGGAAGAGAACTGAAATTATGAAGTAGATTACGCTCCATATATCAACCTGTTCTCATCACCACAGTTTAGACATCTGGACAAAAACCATACCTTGCAATTTCTCAGGAATGGAGGATAGCACGCTGGATCTCATGTGTCTGTAACTGATGAAAGATAAAGTATGGCAAACTGGAGGCATGCAGCAAACATAGGAGGTCGTAATGTGTTTCCAGGGTATGGTGTCTTGCCATCGACCACAGCCTCTTGGAATGAGATAAAGCCATCGAAATAGTTAACAGATGTTAGCCACACTTGAAATATAAAAGCTCTACTGCTAACAATTGTGTAGGGTCAGCTGGAGCTTTGGCTCTTGGTCCACAAGCTAACTGACTTGGCAAACGGGAAATCGAGAGCCGGAGTCGACGCAGAGTGCCAAGGCCACACACTTGGTGCACTGTGCAGGGCTCGTAAACTGCCACCACTGTGTGCCCCGCTCAGCTAGCCGGATTAACCAGCAACACACATCTGATACTTACGGAAGTCTGATGTCAATTTTTACATATACTAAATTAAAGGGATATTTCTAGGAGACCAGAAGAGTAGACTTGTACTTCCAGTTCAAAAAAATGTCGACAAGTTTTGTTATTTATCTCAGTTTGCAATTTGCCCAATAGCTGCTACTGCTTCCCACTGACTTCACAGCCTGTCCAGGAGAAATCTTTTTTTTTTTTGGCACCGGGAGGGAGTCGAACTCAGGACCTTGGGCTTGTCAGGCAGGCACTGCACGGATGAGCTATAGCCCTGGCCTCTATCCAGGAGAAATCTTGATAGCAACGTCTTCTTTTTCCACTCTTGTCTATTCATGTTTCAGAATAAGTTAGCATTGATTTCCAGGTGAATCTATGTAGCTGATATGGGTCATCTCAATTTTAGGTCATAAATATATTCAAGTCAAGCATTGAAAGATGCTTGTGCTACTTTAGAGTTTGTAGTTTTATTCACAGCTTTGCAAATAAAGTCACCAGCTTCCATCACTTTGCAGAGATTCACACCCTGGTCAAAACAAGTATGGCAGAAGGGATGAGAGATTAGGAATAAGACAAAAACAGATGCCTTTTAATTTTATGAGCATTACTATTGACTTAGAATTGTTAAATGTGTTGCTCATTATCTATTTGGCTGGAACCCAGTTTTTTCAATCATATAGTTAGCATTTCATATTTTTCAAACAAGTATTGAATCTCACTGCTGTAATAACATAAGCTAGACACACCGGAATAACAGTGTAATTCAGGAGGACAGTTGTCAATTTAGGAAATAGTCTACAAACATCACTAATGCACAACATCACTAAAGCACAGTCTAATTGTTAATGGTTTGAAGGAGTTTACAGATCAGAAATGAATGAGGAAAAGAACAATCCTTCTAGTATATCAATCATCAGGCTTGATAAGGACCTCAGATTGCAGGAAAAATGAATGCATAATCTTTTCCATAGCCAGAATCACTATTACTGATGCAGTGCTGGGGGAGGAGGCTGGAAGCTAGTTAGAATGAAGTCGTGTTTATTGCGCAGCTGGGACGTCTTTGCCTGAGAGGTTGTACTGCCTGGAAGTATACATAGGATCAAAAGAGGCGTACGTAAATCAAGGTTGACAGATACAAAGTTGGGTAGGAAGGCCAGCATCAGATCGTGCTCCTCATCTCTGGGCTTGGGGTACAGTAGGTCACGTCAAAGTCCATGCTAGCACTTTTTCTGTCACAGTATTAGGTGAGTTTTCCACAGATTTGTGCCCTCGTGCATCATTTCATGAGCTCCTATGTCTTCCCTCAGTGTGAACTAGAAACAATCAGGGCTGAAAATTAAACATACTCAGCCACTTTTGCTACTAAGGGCAGTTATTAACACCATGGACGTCAGAATTTCTCCTAAAAGAGACAAGAATAAATGTTCATAAGGGTTTTTATAACAATGATCATTTCAGAAAGTGGAGATATTTAATCACTTTTTCTAGAATTAATGCTTTATTTTTGTAGTTTATTTAGCTTGTTAAGAATGATTATGAAAATATTCCTAAATGACACTTCTCAATGATTTTTATTATTTCTTTTTTATTATAGAACTATTTTTGGGGTAGCCATGTTCACTGTGGGATGAGAAATTTAGTTTTGTGATAGTAATGGTATTTCATGGATTATCTGGCAGGTGCTATTTAGGTTAGCATCCTTAATTTGTTGTGATTTAAATGTGGTAAACGACTAGTTTCATGCATCTTTTATTTATGAATTACACCCAGCAAGGGTTAATAGGGAGATTTAAATTATTAATGTTGTTTTCCAAGAATTCCATTTTTAACAATTATGCATGGAATTTGATAACATATCATTTCCAAGGAGAATTTGGTTTTGGCCATTACCAGTTTTTAATTAACAGCTATTGTTATGAGATTATTACTACGAGATGACACTTCATTTATTCTTCTAGGTACTGAGGATTGACTCCAAGGAGTGCTGAGCGGCGTCCTCAGCCTCCCCTCCCCTTTTTATTCTTTTTCTAATTTTGAGGCAGGGTCTTGTTAAGCTCGCCAGGCTGGCCTTAGACTTGGGACCCTCTTGCCTCTGCCTCCTGAGTAGCTGGGATTGCAGGCATGCGCCACCATGCCTGGCTTTCACTTACTTTAAATCATTTATCAGGTGCTTAAATGCGTCTCATGCGTGGTGATCTTCTGGGGTTTCCAGATCCTCACATGGAATGGGGTTTCTGTCTTCGGAGCTTACGCTCAAACAGGCAAGACAGACACACGGAAAGAAAACTCTGCTTTGTAGTTAGAGCAGCAGATAGAGACGCGTCTGGGTAAGGAGGGAGGCAGAGTGTGGAGCAACCAAGCCACGCCGAAAGAGGAACAGGCAGAACGTGCCAGAGGGCTGCGAAGAGGGATCCGTGCTGGTCGAGTGTGACGGAGAGGACGCGTCCCGGAGCGGGAGGACGATGCGCGAGACGTGGGAGCCGCATCAGTACCGGAGGGCGCGCGAGGCCACGGGCGAGAACGCGGCGCGCGGCGGAGGGCGAGCGAGCTTCCCGCAGTCGGCCAGGAGGACGGGGCGCGCCCCGGTACTGGGAACGCACAGATCGGCTGGACTGTGCGCCGCACAACCTCCTGAAGCACGGCGCACGCACTCTTTCGTTTTTCTTTCCATTTCCGTGGTACGTTTTAGATGCACAGTGACCACGCTCACCGCGGGAGATCTGCCTGTACATGACGGGTCTCGCTTGCTTTTGTCCCATTCTCCTTCCCTCCCCTTCGCCCCTCATCCCTTTATTTTATTTTATTTTATTTTTTTTTTTTGTTTTGTTTTTGTTTTTCTCCGGTACTGGGAACCGAACTCCCGACCTTGCGCTTGCCAGGCAGGCGCTTTGCCGCTGAGCTAAATTCCCAGCCCCTATCCCTTTATTTTAAACACAGGTTTTGTTTCCATTTCTTTCTCCCCGGCTTCTCATTTCCCGGTATCTATTCTCCGATTGGGTCCTTATTTACACTTTCGGTTTCTCACACCAGAGAAAGCGTGCAATATTTACGCAGGTGTGAGCAACTTCGCTCACTCAAGCATATGGTCTCAAAGTGCATCCACTTGCCAGAAATGTCTCAAGCTTCTTTATCCACATCTTCTTTATCCACTCATACTTTACTTTAGAGAAAGCTTCCAGTGGCAGCGTGGAGGGCGAATTCCAGGGGAAGTCTGAAGCCACAGCCTGTGCAGGAGGAACACTCCGGAAAGGGGTTCACGCCCGTGCCGGTGTCCTCGCAGCACGGTCACCCCAGTGCTTCGGAGGTCAAACTCGAGGTCCCTGGTTAGTGATCGGGCCTGGGATTCGAAGGGACATCGGGTTCCGCAGAGAATCGGGCTTACAGCTTAGATTCCTGCTCGGGTATGGCGGCTGCTCAGTGCCACGCTCCTCCTGAGCTGCAGTCTAGGGCCAGACCCACCTGCGTGTGCAGAGGCAGTTAGAGAACACGACCTGACACGTGTGAAGTACCAGCTGTCAAACGAGCTCCATTCATTGAGCTCCACTCCAGAAAAGCATCGCTTTTGCTCCAGCTTGTTGTATCCTTCCGACAGAAATGATTGAGCTACTTTGCAAATGAAACAACATTTGTTCCTAACCACAGAAAAGCAATAGCCTTTGGTGTTTATTGACAACAGCTGTTGGCATTCGGTGCCAAGAGAAAGCTCAATAAATATTTACGGAGCATCTTTATGTCTCACGCACTGAGTACGCATAAACTATGGTCATTGCTCTCTGCTGCACAGGAAGCTGGACGTGTAAAGAAGACCATGATGTGGCCTTCCGTGTGTTCAGAGGCAAAGCTACAAAGGGCAGCAGGAAGCACCCAGGAGGCCCCTCCCAGCGCGGCTGGGGGACGACAGGGAGACCCTGGAAGAAAGCACGTGTAGGATGGTGGTGACCCACTTTCCAGAAGAACCCAAGCATGTGTGCAAGACCCTTCCAAGTGAGGGCAAAGCATGACCACAAGTGGCGGAGAGGAGAAGGATGGAACAGCGAGAGGTCAGGTGCTGATCAGAGTGAGAAAGAGGAGGGACAGGAGCCAGAGACAGGGAAAAGCTCGTCTTGTAATCCAGGTGATGCTTTTATATCTCAGAAAACACTTTGGGTACTTAGTCATCTGTGAAGAGTTTTCTTGCCTTTTATATTTCCCCCTGAAAAGTCGGACTGGCGAATTCACAGGTCGTAGGTGGATGTGATCACATAGCATCTGGCCTTCAGTGCTAGCTGGGACAAGATTAGTGCCATCTGATGCCTCACGCACTAAGCAGTCTTGAGCTGCACTCTCCCACTGACCACTTGAAAAGTGCCCTGGACTCGCGTCCACAAGCCCTTGTTGTTACCAGAGATCATTAAGAAAGATCTCAGTTTCCTCCAAGGAAAACAATCACGCAAATAACAAAACTGCAAAACTATAAGCACAATAGCACAGACTCAGGGTCTAACTCACAACCTGTGTAAAGGCAAAACTGAGATATATATAAAAGCACCCTGGAGTTCATAACACACTATGTGAAATAGTAACACTATTGTGATTGAGCTGTAGCAATAGTTTATAAAGCCCCTGAAAAAAATTTATTGTTTTCCCACTGTGCATTTTAGCAAATGTGTAAGAAAACTTTGACCTCAAAATTGCTTCCCAAATCTGAGAAGCAGTCCACTTTGAAGCTGCGAGGAATGCGTGCGCACTGACATACAGTAAAGTCACTTACTGTATCAACCCCCAGGCCATGAAGCATGTATATTAAATCCTCGGTGGCTACATTCCCAGAGGCACCTTTCGCATAAGGACAGCCACCTAATCCCGACACGGAAGAGTCCACCACGTTAATCCCCATCTGGAAAATGAACACAAACACCGAAGGCTTGTACATTTATGGCATGTAAATTGTTTCATTTCTGCTTAGCCTGTGGCAAAGTGCAAATAAACACAATCTGAACCTTTTATCCAAACATCCCGCTCGGCCCCCAGGTACTGCGGCACCCCCCATGCTCATTTCTTTGTGGGCCAGTCTTCTCTGTCAGACTGACAGACCCCCACGAGGATCTCTGGACCTAGAAGAATCCTGCACCAAAATTAACGTTTTTCTTTTTATGATAACAATACCACTCTGCAGGTGGTAGATCCTGAAATAAGGTTATTTCTCTCCAAGCTCATATATATTCTCCAGTTCCCTCACTTTCTGGGGCACCTTGAGATCAGATCTCAGCAATATGAGCAGAGAGGGAGGCATGTCTTTCTGCTGTGAAAGGTGAAAGCTTGATCATCAGAAACTACGGAAAGACCTAAACGAATTCCTCACTTTCAGGACTGCAAGAAGAGTGGGCCACCCTCATGTAAAACCAGCGCCTCCTGGGGCAGAGTACCGAAGATTGCCGCTGCACTCCCACTGCGTCTGGGTTGGGGTCACAGAATTCTAATTTTTACAAAGATCCCAACTGCTGCTGGTCCTTCTTCTTTCCTGCTTTTCCTTCCCTCCCTCCCTCCTTCTCTCCCATCCTTCCTTCTTCCCTGTCCTTCCTCACATGTTTACTTCTTTTTGTTGATAAGCTTTCTATTTTAGAAAGTTTTTCAAACATTTGTGAAGGCAGTACAGAGAGTTCCCATATACTACTTTTACCATCTGTTAAAGAAAAAAAAATTCTATGATATTTGTTAAACCACAGTAAAGAAGACTTTATTCATGGCTACTGCCGAGTTCCAGAGACACAGTGTAGTTCTGCAGGGCAAGAGACCGGGGCTAACTCCAAGTACAACAAAAGCAAGCAGGGGATTCTAGCCAAGAAGCAGGGCTGGGGTCAGTGGATGGAAAATTACTAAGAGGAATCACCAGGAATGAGGGGATTTAAACTAAACCAGCCTAACAAGACTTTTCCTAAAGACGGCCAGGGTGGTCAATCATTCCCTGGGGCGTAACGGGTGATGAGAGAAATAATTAGATGTGGAAGGGAATTAGGTAGAGAGGTGGGTGCTCCTCCCTGAAATAAACTGCTCAGCAGAGGCTGCTGATGTTGGGTTTCTGGAGAAAGTGCACATACAGTCCACGGAGAAAATTTCGAAGCCTGGCTAAAGACTGGCTAAGGCAAGACTGTCAAATATTAGGTTATTGTAGTACATCTGTCATAACTAAAGAACATATGCTGATTTCCGGACATCTAACCTTTAGTCACATTTCCTTAGACAGACCTAATGGCGCTTCTGAAGGCATTTTAACCTCGTGTGCTTCAGCTGCTTCCGGAACTCATCAGCACATCACCTGAGGTCAGCACCCCTGACTCCCTAGGCTCCTCTGCACCGTGACAGTTTCGGGATGCGGATTTCATGCAGTGCCCTTCGCTTCAGGCTCGTCTGGCTTTCTTTTCCATGGTCAGCCTGGGTGACAGAACTTCGGCAGGAAGACCCAGGGGTGCAGCACCGTTCCCAGGGCATCCTGTCAAGGGTGTACACTCCGGCTGTAAGCACTGAGCTTGGCATTAACCTTGACCGCCCGGCAGTGGTGGTGTCCACAGGGGTGCTCAGGAGCTCCCTCCTTGTCCCCGTCTACCCTGCGGTCTGCACCAAGCCACCGGTGCCGCTCACACTCGAGGAGCCATAGCACCCACACCAATCACGTGTAGTTCTCCGTGTGACAGACTTGGCTGTTCTCTCACATTTACTTAGTCATTTATTGGGACACGACATATTACTGGGGGCCCACAGGCATTTGCAGGTATTAATTTTGCACTCTGAGTTATAACCCTGTACTTCTTTATATATCTTCTTGCTCGTATTACCCCAGACTCAGCTAGTAGGAGCTCTTTGAGCTGGCCCTTCTGTCCTTTTGGCATGCCAAGGGAGCTGCACTTTTGAATCACTGATCTAGAGTTTTCTTTGCTATGTCAACTTCACTCAGTGTTCACCAGGGTCTGGAGGGTGCTCAATCAGTCTGGTCTTCACTGGGATCTGAGGAAGGTTTTCAAAGAGAGGCTGCATTTCGCCCCCGTTTCTCCTCACTGGACTCAGTGTGGGGAGGGCGCCATAGCTCTCTCCCCATTGTCTTCTTCAAATAATAATTTGAGGAGTTCAGTCATAGCCAGGTGCTGATAGTGACCAGGTAGTGTGTACACATGTGAGATAATTTAGATTTTCTGCAGACCAAAATAGCAAGAGTAAAGAATTACACTCTATAAACAAAATGTGTAAGAACATATGGTACTTGAAAAAGGTAAAATCAAGGTGTCAGCCCATCTGTGGAGTCGGCCATGAGATCAAACAAGGCTTTTCTTCACTTGAAGACTAAAACTGATCTACTTCATGGAACCAAATCTGCACCTCAGAAACAGAAGTTTCACAACTTCTCAATCCTGGCTACCCCTTGGAGTCGCCCCTGGCTTTTAAAAAATGCGAACACCAAACTAACTAGATCAGGATCTCAGTCTGGATATGGTTCCAGCACGGATGCTTCTTTAACCCTCCCTCTGGGGATTCGCCTCGCAGCCTGGTGTGGAATCCCAGGGCAGAAGTTCTCATCTGTGTCAGCGGTGTCAGCTTGCGGAGTAGGAGTCCCTTTCACTAGACAGAAGCTGGCCACCCCCCCTCCCCTCAGCAGGAAGTCCGCATTTCGAGGAAGATGGCATTTGAAAGAAGGCTCCAAATGTATGCGTGGAGAGCAGGAGGCACTGGCCTGCTGGGGAGGGGCGCCCGTCGGCCCCTGTGCGGAGGGCTCCTCCTGTCAGCTCTTGCTGAAGACCGAAAGGGCAGTCACAGCACACCAGGGAGGAAACGCGCTGTTACCTCGTCAGAACAGCCTCGTGCAGGGGCTGAGCTGGGCTTTGGGGCGACAGTGCAGCAACAAAACTCACTCTGTATTTTCTAACTAAAGGCCAGTATGACCAGTCGTTTGGACAAAAGTGAAAGATTTATTCACAATAAAGCAACCAGTGTCACAAAGGACTAGTAAATGGCCAGCGTCACAATGGAGCAAAATAAATAACCAGTGAGGCCATGAAAACAAGTTCAACCTCACATTAAAGACTGTAAAAGAAGTGCAACGCTGTGATGCTTCATGCTTTCTGACTGGCAAAGAGTTTTGAAAATATTGGTAACTAAATCGTATAAGGGAGAGTGCCATGGTGGCACACACCTGTGTCCCAGGACTCGGGGCTGAGACAGGAGGACTGCTGCGAGTTCAAGGCCAGCCTAGGCTAGATAGCGAGACTGTGTCCCAGCAAAACACCCTAAGAATAAATAAAGTGTACCGTAGAGCAATAAAATATGAAACAATCTGTAACCTAAACAAACACATCTCACGGACAAAATGCTGCATTAAAGAAGTCAGGCTCAAAAGGGAACACACACTAAGACTCCCTCTGGGTAGTCCTACCAGACACACACCGATCAAAGTAAAAGTGCAGATGATCGTTCTCCAGCGGGGCCTACAGATGAGCTCAGGGGAGCTGTGGGTGGGGGCAGCCAGCGCTGCATCCCCTGACCTGAGCTGACTCCACTGGTAATGTGTGTTTCTGAAAGGTCATCGCTTACGCACTTTTCCTCATATGTTACACTCAGCAGGCATCAAAAAGGTACTGTTATATTTTCGGAACTTGAGGTAAACTAGGAAACACATGAGTAAGAACACAAGCCGGAATTTTTAATGGTGAACAATTGATAATTTGTCTGAAGCTGCCAATACCTATTGTCCCAGAAATTCATTATCAAGAAAGTTCAATTATAGACAGGTAAATTGGATTTAAATTAACAGGTATGGGACAAGGATTGCCCTCAGGAGGGAGTCAGTGCAGAAGAGGGGAACACATCAGAGCTGGCCGGAGGCATCTGAAGAAGGCCAGACCTCAGGGTGGAGCCCGCAGCCCTCCCTAGGGGAGAAAGAGTGGCTGGGGATTGTATCGGAATTAACACCACGTGGTCCAGTAAGTCAGGCGCCACAGTGGGTGACAGATCTGGACCCACCCTCCATCCCCCCGGCCCTTTCCAAACAGCGCCTCTGTTCTTTCTGTGTTAGCAGCGACAGCAGCTGACGGTGGTGCCTGCCACACCCCTTGCAGCAAGCCTCCTTCCCCACGGATCACCGTCAGCCAAGTGCTGCTCCTGTGGTCCTACTGCTGGCTGCAGCGTGACCCGTGCTGCACCCACCTTGTGCTTTGCTCTATACAATACTGTTGGAGAAAGAGCCTCCGTGGCAAACCCTCTCAGGACACAGGCACACGCACACACACCAGTCTCGGGAACTTTCTCTCGGTAACCGCTCCGATGCTTACCCTCCTTCGCCCTATAAACTATATTTGGGAGATACGAGTTCGGCACAGCTGACAAACCGCAGGTTGGGAGTTATTTTCCTCCCATCATAGTTCTTAGGAATATTTTTAAAATTCCAAGTATATAATTAGATAAAAAATAAAAAGCAAATGAACATCTGTAGGTGATTCTCATTGCAGTTATGTTATTTAAGAAAGTAAATTTGAAAATAATTCAAATGTCTCGAAATGGCACTAATTTAAGCTACTTAAGATGTTTCTGTCGGATGAACGATAAATGCAATACAGATGTGTCGATAAAGGAGAAGAATCGGTTGAAGAATGTTATCACAGTATGTATAGTCGTGACACGTTTTTAAATGAAAATCGGTCTTGGATGAAACAGCAAGATGTTCTCAATACTGGTGTTGATGGGTAGTGTAATTACAGGTGATTTATTTTATTTTATTCTGTTTGTTTTTCAATATTCTGACTATAGTAGTATAGTAATAAATAGAATGATTTTGAATAAATCAAAACCTGAGTTTCTAAGTTGAGCTAATCTCCGAAAAAATCAACTGATTAAGGAAAAAAGATTTAGTGC